GCACACCTGACCTCCAGGACCTTCTCATCTTGCTGATGTGCAGCTGCAGACACTTATCCCCGGTCAGTTTCCTCCCCACCTGACCTGGAGACCTCTCCTTGACCTCTGTGTCTAAGAGATTTGCTACTTTACAAAGTGTGATATTTGTCTTTTGGTGACTGACTCATTGGTTTTCCCATAGTAACTCCAGGTTCATCCATGCCATCCCCTGTGTCAAGAATTTCTTAGGGATGTGCACTTTCTTCTTTGTGCTGTGGCAGTGTGTCCAGGTGGTTACCCTGGAATGTTGTAAATTGTATATTAGGGCAGGGAACGAGCACTAGAAAATACTACACAACATCTGTCATATGTGGAAAGAGTGCCACATGTGAAACCGCTGATTTCTGTTCTCAGCTCTCCAACCACCCAGGGGATTGACACCCATGGATTCAACATGTTACTATGGGGCCTTTGATTCACGGTCAAGGAATCCAAGCACTGGTGCCAGGAAACCTAGGTTGCTTGACAGTGCACTGAAGGTTGTGTTCATGAGATGGAAGGAACCTTCCTGACAAGCATGACCATCACGTGCTTCAAAAGAGTTGTCACAAACAGAGCTTGCATGTCCTGTCCCACAGTTCAAAAGCAGTTAAAGAGACACCAAAATTATCTTCATCTCCGAGACATTCTCCAGAGTTTCTTTTCTAAAATATATTTTATTAATTATGCTATTACAGTTGGCTCATTACCCCCCCTTCATTCCCCTCCACCCTGAACACCCTCTCCCACTCACATTCCCCTTTAGTTCATGTCCATGTGTCATAAGTTCTTTAGCTTCTACATTTTCCATACTGTTCTTGCCCTCCCCCTGTCTATTTTCTACCTACCATCTATGCTACTTATTCCCTGTACCTTTTCCCCCTCTCTCCTCCTCCCACCCCCTGGTTGCTAACCCTCTATGTTATCTCTATTTCTGTGGTTCTGTTCATGTTCTGGCTGTTTGCTTAGTTTGTTTTTGTTTTTGTTTTTGTTTTAGGTGTGGTTGTTAGTAATTGTGAGTTTGCTGTCATTTTACTATACATGTTTTTTTATCTTCTTTTTCTTAGATAAGTCCCCTTAATGTTTCATAAAATAAGGGCTTGGTGATGATGAACTCCTTTAACTTGGCCTTATCTGAGAAGCACTTTATCTGCCCTTCCATTCTAAATGAAAGCTTTGCTGGATAGAGTAATCTGGGATGTAGGTCCTTGCTTTTCATGACTTGGAATACTTCTTTCCAGCCCTTTTTTGCCTGCAAGTTCTCTTTTGAGAAATCAGCTGACAGTCTGATGGGAACTCCTTTGTTGGTAACTGTCTCCTTATCTCTTGCTGCCTCTAGGATTCTCTTCTTAATTTTAGTCTTGGGTAATGTAATTATGATGTACCTTGGTGTGTTCCTCCTTGGGTCCAACTTCTTTGGTACTCTCTGAGCTTTCTGGACTTCCTGGAAGTCTATTTTCTTTGCCAGAATGGGGAAGTTCTCCTTTATTATTTGTTCAAATAAGTTTTCCACTTGTTGCTCTTCCTCTTCTCCTGCTGGTACCCCTATAATTTGGATGTTGGAATGTTTAAAGATGTCCTGGAGGTTCCTAAGCCTCTCCTCATTTTTTTTGAATTCTAATTTCTTCATTCTTTTCTGATTGTATGTTTTTTTCTTCCTTCTGGTCCATTCCATTGATGTGAAACCCAGTTTTCTTTCCATCACTACTGGTTCTCTGTGCATTTTTCTTCATTTCACTTGGTGTAGCCTTCATTTTTTCATCTAATTTGCGACCAAAATCAACCAATTCTGTGAGCATCCTGATCACCAGTGCTTTGAACTGCACATCTGATAGGTTGGCTATCTCTTGGTTGCTTAAAAATACTGCTTGTGGGGCTTTCAATTCTGTTTGAGCCATCTTTTTTTCCCCTTTGGTCTGGTCATGCCTGTTATGTATGAGGGGCAGAGCCTTAGGTGTTCACCAGGGCGGTGCACCCCTGTTGCAGGGTTGTAACATTGTATGTGGGGGCAGGGTCTGAGAGGGAACAATGGTGCTTGCTCTGCTCTCCGTAGGGCCTCAGTCCCTTCCACCGCTTCCCCCAAGCAAACTGGGCCCCTCTGGTGCCAATTTCCATGTGGGAGGGCTTGTGCACCCTGTGGGACTTTCCAAGGACCTCTCTTGTAAGGCTGGGAGTCTCTCCCTGCGCCTTAACCCCCACAGGTGTTTTCAATCAGTGCCCAAGGCTCTATTACCCAGCACTGTGATCCTGGGTTGTGCGCAGTGCCTTGCTTCGCAATCGCTGTCTCGCTGGGTCTGCCAGCTGCCACTTGTGTGTTCAGGGTCCACCTGCTGTGGTCTTGCATTCCCTGGATGCCTTACACACCTGGTCCCAGTGCTCTCTGCTCTCCACATCGTGACCCACACCTGGCTGCCTGACTCTCCGCCCCTCCTACTGATCTGGATGAACGTGTCTATTTTAACTTCTTGGTTGTCTGACTTCCATACGGTTCAATTTTCTGTCAGTTCTGGTTGTTATTCTGTTTCTAAATTGTTGTTGTCCCTATCTTGGTTGTGTGAGGAGGCATAGTGTGTCTACCTATGCCTCCATCTTGGCCGGAAGTTCCAGAGTTTCTTTACTTTGTTGGAGAAAGCATTCCTTCATGAATGTGAAGGACTTTAAAGTTTCTTCACCTGGCAAGAACTCTTGGACATTATTGATGTATTCAGTCACACCCAAATTAGGATCAATGGTCATATTGACCACATTATCCAAAATATCACAGCCAATCCCTGGGATGAAAGCCTGCAAACCTAGGCTCAGTGACAGGTGTAAGCTCTGTGTGGGGCCTGACTGTGATGCCGTCATCTTATGACCCTGCAGGAACATTTGTTCAGAAAGGCCTTGGGAAGGGTTTGAGTCCTCAGTTCTAAGGGAGTGAACTCAGGACCTGGGATTTTCTTTTAGCCCTAAAACATCTGCCTCCTTGTCCTCTGCCCTCACCTGCCCCCATACACACAGAGCTGACACTAGAGAAATGGGCTGCTCTGCACAGGGGCTTGGGGAACAGCAGCACTTGCAGAGGGGCCCTGAGCACAGCCCTCCTCCATATCTGGCACTCTGTGCTCACGCAAATAGCAGTACAGGGGGAGGGTGGTCAGCATGAGGACTGCCACCAGCTTCATGGTTCAGGCAGCTGCTGTGGGCTGGTCACTCTGGTGTGACAGGGAAGAAGGAGGCTTTGTTGGAGGTGACTGTCCAGAATGCAGCCTTTTATTCTCCTGGCAGCTGCCCTAATCCCTTGCACGAATGATTGGATGAGTCACAGAGTAAACCTGACCCTGGGCTCTGTTTGTACTACCTGAGGAGACAGAGTTTTGGAAAACTCTCAAAGGTTTCAGAGGGATGGGGCACAGTTGCTGGGCTGCAGGGCAGCGAGTGGAAGAAAGGGCACTGTGCTGCATGTAGGACCCTGGCTACTGCCAGACTCTAGGAGAAGCCTGAGGCCCAATGGTGAACGGCAAAGGGACCAAGTAGCCTGGACAGTTATGTAGCAGCTACCTGCAGTTTCTGAAAGGGTGGTATTTTTAAAAGGTAGAAGGTACTTGGGGTGTACCTTGTGTCGTCTGGCAGAGGGTGTTAGGTTTTTTCTGGGTGTACTAGAGGGAATAGACTCTGAGTGGGAAGCTTGTCATTCTTTCAAAACTGCAGCTTTTGAGTAAGTGACCTCTTTCTGTTTTCACCAAACCTCTGACTGTGGATTTTTACCTAGAGGGTGGCAACATGCAGCAGAACCCCTGATAGTGTTCAGTGACATTTCTTCTGGAAAGAATCACTTTTCTTTGGGGTGATGTTCCAAAAGTCACAAAAAAGTGTGGAAAGTGAGTGAGCTACCCCATTTCATATTTTTCACCGTGGGGAAATTTTCTTAGTGCATTTATTTGGTGACTGTCTTTCCATCACAGTTGTGATGAGATCTGTGTCATTTCTGCATTTTTTAGTTAGACATGCTTTTCTTTTCTTTCATATTCCTGTCTTTTATATAGCAGAACCCAGAAAAGCTGGAATTCATGCTGCCTATCACCTACCAGACCCAATAACAGAGGCAGAGATTGAATCTTTATGGGAGCTTTATCCAGATGGTTGATGAACTGAGAAGGTGGGAAGTTTGTAACCTAATAGATTATCTTACATTTCCTTTTGCCTCACTGGAGGGTGGGCCCATCAGCCTAGTTGGGGCTCCCAGGGGAGGGGTAGGCTGGGCACAGACACTGTGCATTGGACTGTTCCTCCTGTAGTAAGTGTGAACTATGTGCATGTGGTTGCACGGATGGCAGTGGGGTGCTTGTTTCTGGGCCTTTAGAGGGGATTTGGGGGATGAAGAGTTGCTGAGGGTGGTGAGCAATGTGAGTGTACAGAGAGAAAAGAGTTCCCTGAAGGCTGAGCCCTGAGATTCACTACAAAGTGAGAAGTGGACAGAAAACAAATTACCCTGGACCCTCCCAGCATGGAAACCCAGGGTAGGGTGAGAACCAGGCAGGCTGTTTGAGCGTCTGATGGCGATGGAATGGCAGTGGGGCTGCTGGTTGGGAACCGTGTGACTGCTCAGGGAGGCAGCAGTTCCCTCAGCAAAGCCCAAGGGCAGGACCCTTAGGGGAGCTTTTGATCCCTCACCACACTTTTCTCTCCCAGCCCCATGACTGGGGGTCTGTGCAGGGATGTGGGATGGCTCCTGAGCCCGCAGTCTCTCTGGGATCCCTCCCTCAGGCCACCATGGTCACTGGATGCTGTGTCACTGAAATGTACTATGGACACTACCCAATGGCCACTTCATGACAAGAACCACCACAACTCCAGGGACAGACTGTTGGACAAAAACAAGACAGGGAGAGGAGTGCAGGGCAAGTACTTTATTGAAGCAAGATGTTGAAACCTTCACATTTTTCTGTGGGTGATGAGGCCAGCCTTGAATGACAAGCACTGGTGTGTAAGATTTTTGAAGTCTAGCTGTTACATTGGGATGCCGCCTTTTTCTGAAATAGAGAGAGACAGGGGGTGTCAATCATGCTGCCCCTGGAGATGATACATTTACAGGGACTTCTATTCACACCAACATGCGAGGTACATCCCACCTAGCAAAAGCACATGGAGCCACCAGTCAGGAGAGCCGAGTGGGTGGGGAATTCAACAGTCCTGGTACAGCCATCACAAACTGTGCAAGGCAGGGAAGAACATGTCCATAGCCCAACAGATAAAACTCAAGTGAGCCAGGTCTGGGACTCAGGTTTCTAATGGAGTCAGGACAGAGTCAAAGGTTTTGTTTTGTCAAGCAGCCCAGGATTTCCTTCCTCAGAGTCCAGGGTGTGATAGCCAATGATGGGTAAGATTCCTCAAGAAAGAAAGCCCTGGCTGGCATAGCTCAGTGGATTGAGCACAGGCTGGGAACCAAAGTGTCCCAGGTTCGATTCCCAGCCAGGATACATTCCTGGGTTGCAGGCCAGAACCCCCAGCAACTGCACATTGGTGTTTCTCTCTCTCTCTCTCTCTCTCTCTCTCTCTCTCTCTCTCTCTCCCCCTCTCTCTCCCTCTCTCTCTCTCTCTCCCTCCCTCCCTCCCTTCCCTCTCTAAAAATAAATAAATAAAATCTTAAAAAAAATATCAAAGTCTTTTAAAAAAAAAGATTCCTCAAGAAAGAAACGTCATAAAACAGGCACAGTCATGAAGGGGCCATCAGGGAAGGACTTAGGGGATAGTGGAGAAGGGACAAAAACCCTCACCCCTTGGCTTTATCATAGCCTGAGTCCTCACTGTATCTGCCAAGTCTCCTAATCTCCTGGCTGCCTTGCTGCCCTGGCCTGACTCAGGCCTAAAACAATGCCAATGGGAGGTGCAGTCCTGTGCCAGAACTGGCGGCTTCTGGAGGGAGACCACCACATCTCAGAAAGAATGCATGAAGTCCTGTGAAACCTGCTTTGCTAAGAATGTCCTCAATTTAAGTGTTAACAGTCCAAGCACAAAATAAGTTTGTTTCCCGAGGTTTTACAGCTGAGAAGTGTCACACTGTCATCAGACTCTGATTCAAAAGGACTCCCCATTTCAGAAATGTTATCTGTAAACCACACCTCCTTTCTTTGATATGCACCCATATGTAAGCTAAACTCAATAAGAGCCCATTGGGAGAGAGGCTAAAAAACCTTTCTCCTCTGAGAGACTGGTCAGCCTTCTTCCCCAAAGAGATTCTGTCTTGGTAAAATTATTCCCATCCACAGGGCACGAGGGAGCTCTGTGGGCAGACCTCACCCTTACCACTATCCTTGCAAACACATAACAGAAGTGTTTCAGCTCCAAGCAAGGCTGCCGAGGATGAGGACGTAAAGGATGGTCTTTGCCCATTGGCCATGATTGGTGAGGGCTGGGAGTGTGGGGCAGAGAGACAGGGAGGGGCTCACTCTGTGAGAGCTGGTGGATTCCCCGGCCATCCATCCCTTCATTCTGACCTATAGCCTGGGCTATCACCCTCCCTCTTGCTGTCTCCCCTCCATCACTCCCCATTCTCCATGAGAATCTCCAAGGTGCCACTGGGTAAGGGAACTGGCCCTCCAACCTCTAAAACCTCCTAGAGAGGGAGGCAGCAGTCTCTGCCCTTCAGCATCACCACCTGGGACCTGGTTGTCCTTTCCAGGACACTGTGGGTACATGTGGCCAAGGAGGTGACCTGAGAAGCAGGAACATGCTACATGTACTTTGAAGCCTTAGTGTAGCTCATCAGGTGTCATGTCATCATCCACCCTGTGGCCACAGGCCACTCTGTCAGAGGTGAGAAGAGGAGCAGGTGCCTCCCCACCCTGTGCCCACAGTCTAGCACCCTGACCTCCCTCCTGGCCATGCAGAAGCCCCTATAGAGGAAGGAGAAACAATTTACCACAATATTGTATATTTTCTGTCTGCCCTCTCTAGGCAAACGATCTACGCATTGCTTCACTTGAAGCGAAGCCTCGGCAGCTTCTCTAGGTGGAGCAAACATCAGAAGATGGATGTTGTACATGTTTTCAGTTTCCAAAAGGAAGCCTTTAAATTCAGACAGAAAAGCTGGACAGACTTCTGCGTTTGCTGGAGCAGAAGAAAAAGAAATACAATTAATGTAAGGAAGTCACTTTTTCCCCATAGCTCTCTGACATTAGACAGGAACACCAGAAGCTTTTATGGTCCCATCCCATAATTGTCCCAATGACAATGGAAAATCCTAGAAGTCATGACTTGCTCAAATCACAGAGCAAGCAGCAGGGCTCGTTCTGGAAAAAAAAAAAAAACATTCACCGAAACCCAGCTCAGTGGTTCTCCTGTGTAAAGTACATGCACGTCTTTCCAAGATACTCCTGCTTTGCTGAAACTCATATTCCCTAGATTTCAGAAATTAAGGTTTGGTCTGTCATTAGAGCCACACTTTTCTTTTTGTCTTGGATGGTGGGGGAGAGGAGCTATGACTGATCAGTCTTTCCAGTGGAGTGGGAGAGGACGATCTCATAGAGATCAGAGAACAGGGACCAAGCCTGGAGAGGAGCAGGGACAATGATTGAATGTTGGAAGATGCTCTTCTGAGAGTAAGTTAAACAGTAGAATTATGTCATTGGGTGAAAATAGCTAAGAAGCTTAGAAAGGAATCTGAGGCTTACACACCAACCATGACTAGCTCTTCTGGTCTGCACTGAATACAGAATTCCTTTGAGACAGTGGGAGCTTGCCACCAGGGTCCGCTTTTGGCTCCATGGGGATTGTGCTGAGACCTGAAGTAACCACTCTTCTTTGTCTGAACTCTCCATCCCCACCCCATACTCTGTCTTCATATCTTTACAACTACCTGTAGCTAGGAATGTGCCCTGCCAGGCTCCCATGAGACCCAATCAGGCAGCAAGTACGCAGAGATGGGGAGAGGTCTGATCAGAGGCAACACAGGGAAAGGGGAGGAGTTCAGAAAGTCAGAGGAAAGAGAAAGAGTCAAAAGCACTTGGGTCAGAGTTGAGGGCATGATGACACAACCAAGTATTGTTGGATGAGTGGCTAGAAGTCACCTAGAAATTCAGCCAGTGTGGCCCTGAGATTGCCCTGTTTCTTCTGATCCTGGGTGGACTTCCAGAAAAGGAGCAGGGTGTGGGGATGTGTTGAGTGCTGCTGCTCCTGACTGAATCCCGAGAGAGCCAGACTACACTGGTTCTACTTGAACTGAGAGCTCTCCTAACGCCCTCCCAGACTCATCATTCGATGAGTCTGAAAGACAGAGTTAGAGAGCTGGGGACTCAACTGGCACCAAAGACTCTGGGAAGGAGAACAGAGCTCATGAGACCCAGATCTAGCTTCTGACACCCTTTGTCTCACTCCATGGTTAGAGTTGCTCTTGCTGGTGGTTGTGGAAATCAAGGATGAGAGGAGACTTGGGTGATACAGCATTCTGTTCAAGTCACAGCTCCGCCGAGTGGCAGAACAGTGATGCAGAACCAAATCTTATCGCATCCTGCTGTTTCTGAGCATAGACCCTAGATGGGGAGTGAGGCTTCAGATGAGAAGCTCTTCAAAGTGGCCTGAAAGGGTTTTCTGGAAAGTTCCAGGGTGTTGGGGATTTATACAGGATGCTTTGGTGTTCAGGTGGCTAGTCCACAAGTAGCAGGGCCTGTTTGGATTCTGATTCAGTTCACCCCTCCTCCCCAAATAAGTTACCCACTTCAGAGAAGGTTACTTATCTGGGCTGGTGGTAGTCTGATTAGGCGTGATACTCACCCTCATAGCAGCAAAGGGCCAGAGTGACCAGCAGGACACACAGGGACAGTCTCATGGTCGACGTTGCTTTGAGTTCAGTTTTAGCAAACAATGAGCAGTTAGCAGCAGGACTCAGTAGCCTGGGGACTCCAGGGCTATTTGTACCCAGTGAGCCTCACAGGTCCTGCCCACTCAGGCGTGGCAGGACACAAGGCCTGGCCTCCAGCCCTCCCTTCCTCACTGAAGCTTGATGCCAACCATCATGGTCACAACCCCGGTGACTTGGTCAAGAATAGGCTTTGCTGGCACTAAACACATTTTCTTTGTGTCAAAAATCTAGGCTGGAGTTTTACAAAACTATAATCAGTGACTGGCAGGCATCCCCCAGTTTCAGCTCCTTAACTGGAGTTTCAGAAATTATGATCAGTTGATTGATGGGAGCCTCCTTAGAATTTAACTCCTTAATTGCAGGTAGTGACCAGTTTTGCTCACCTCTCAGCGTAGCGCCGGGCAGAGAGAAGAGGATCGGCACATAGTCCTGAAATGTTTGTTTTAGGTGCATCTTTAGTGCAAAAGGTTGCCTGCTGGACCAGGGTCACTTTGGGCAGTTGTGGGAGACAGGTAAGTGGCATGGGGACATTTGTGAGGTTGTCAGTTGTTCGGGTCTTGAGAGAATATGGTGCCAAGAGGAAGACTACCTCCCCAGCTCTGACCTTCCAATTCTCATCTAATGTTTTAAACACAGTCAAGAGAGGGTTCCATCAAATCAAGCAGGAAATTGTCCTGATGGTTTTCTTGTCAGTTAGTAGGTGGCACCTGCTGGGTCCTCAGGATCCCAGCAGCAGCAGCACCCATAGGGCCCATCCTCCTCCTTCCCTAAAGATGTGCAGAAGCCTCATGGAGGCCCTCGGGCATGGACCGTTCTGAGGAAAGACACTGGGAAGCAGTCTGGGTACAGAGGAGCATGATTGAGAGCCTCTCAGGAGAAACAGGGTTTGACATGAAGTGGTGTTGGGAGGAGGGATCCCTCAGCAACAGCACGAGGGAAGACCAGACACCATGACCCAGATGGTGGGTAGGGAACACAGGAACCCGTGCACGTTACCCTGAAACACCAGTGCCCAGTGGGACAGGGATGGCTTTGTGACTGGAGACGAGCTGGGCCAGGTGAAGCAGAGGGCCTATTGTGCTCTGGCTGCCCTGGGGATTGAGAGGGGGCTAAAGCAACACCACTCCACTTGACCCAGTGCTTTCCTCTGTGGGGCAACAGGAACTGATCCTCTGGGTGTTGGGAATGCCAAATAGTGCTGCCATTCAGGAGGGCAGTGTGGCCATTTCTTGCAAACTAAACATCCTCTGTTCCCTCCACCCAGCAATTGCATTCTGCAGGGACAAAGATGACACTGGGAGTGTGATTCTGACCACAGGGAAGGCTGTGCTTGTCTGGAAATGAGGGGTAGATGGGAGCATTGTGTATTTTGTGCTCCATCTTCTGTGAACCTAAAACTGCCCTAGAACTAAAGATTAGTAAACAAGAAGGCCAACATCCTGTCAGCATCATTTTCTTCAAACAAGGGGAAAAAACAGACAAAAAACAAATCAATGAATTGGTCATGGTGCTAGATGGTGGATTGTCTCACCAAGAAATCTACAATAACCTCCTGAGGAAAACTGCGAGAATGAATGAACGTTTGTGATGCAGCTGAATGCAGGATGGCCTGTGAATGACACTCTCTTCCCATAAACCAGTATCACCACGTGACCCAACAGATATAAGGGCACCACTGGCTACAGGAACTCCAGCAGCAACAAAAGTACACTGAGGTTCACACAGTTCAAAGATACACACCTTGAAATATAAAGTCATGATATTTACTCACAGATATGACAAGGGATCTGAAAACACCAAGGCACATACCTTGTTCCTGAAGAAATATTAGAAAATGTAAAGTCAACTATTCACAAATTACTGTAGAGTTTCAGTCCTGCCCACATCAGAATCCTAATGGGCCAGTTTTATACATTGTTTTGAATTGATAATTCTGTTTGGATCTTTCAAATTTAGGATGTGCTCCCTTACTGAGTTGTGAGGTAGAGCCCAATTTTAGGGCCTACCTGGGTTCAAGCTCAGCTCTGGAACTTTCTACTTCTGGGATCTTCAGCAAGGTGCTGACCCTCTCAGTCTGTTTCCTCATCTGTACAATAAGGCTGAGAGCAAAGGATTTGTGTGAGGATAAATAAATTAATTCAGGAACAATGCTCAGCACAGTAACTGGCAGTGAAAGTCAGCTGTTCCTATTATGCAACAAAAAGGAAAAATGTAAGTCCTGAGTTAAATGAAAAAAAAACACCTCACCCCCAAAGATAAATATCAGATTGAATATAATGACTTTGCCAAGGAACAATGTTGATTTATTCTCAATGCCAACTGATTGTGCTTCTGAATTTGGCTCTGGTTCCAGTGAGATTTGTCTTAGTTAAAATAAGATCATCACTTTTCAATCACTTCATATCCTGTTTTAGGATTATATCTGAGTGACTGTTATTGTCATTTTCTAACCCTAAGTACTGCGTATTGGAACTAAGAGTATAGGAGGATGGTGGGTGGGATGGGTACTAATTATCCCAAGACACATAGAATCCCTGGTCTGTGGTCTTGAGCAGGACACACTGGTGACAGATGTCCTTCAGCTGTGGCTGAAATCCCAGGGCTCCTTCAGCTCTCTGTGTCTTACTGGGGAACAGGAAGGTGGGGCATGGAAACACTGGAGACATCATCACTTCTGGATCATGATGTCCACGTGTACTTTCAGATTCAATTTATGTATTATCTGGTGACACTGGTCGTCCTGTGCCACCTGCCCTGCATCAACATCCTTGTCTCCTTTTACCAAGACAGATGATGTACAGGTTGCCTGTCAGACCCTACATGGCATTGACTCTGCATGTGCAGCTCTGGACTGCAAAAACCTCAGTGTAGGCAGTATTTTGCAGGACACAATTTATATCTACAGAGAGAGGTCTCTGTGTCCTGGCTTCGAATAACATCAAAGAAAGACATAATGTGCTGTGGCTGATAAACCATTAAAATAATTGTGAGTGGCAGATCCCTCTGTCAGTCTTGGCCCATTCTCCAAAGGAACACATGGAATCCAGTGACATTGGCACCACAGACTTATCCTTTTCACATGTACACAATCAAGTGGCATGTGCTTTCAGAGTCAAGACCTCAAAGGATGAACAATGTGACTAAACGGGCCTCATTTTTACCAATACATGATGCTCTCCAGGGATACATAACATCAAAAGCAGGCCTCATCCATCTCATTAAGAAAAGTATTTATCAATAACATTTTACTTTGATAAGAAATATCAAAAATAGAACGATATGTTTTGGAGCTTTACCCAAGGCAGCAAGGATCTATGATGGTGCCCGCATCACCCATGTGCCTCATCTGACAGACTCCATAGGCATGTTACCACTTCCTCCCTGCCTTGTGCACTGAAGAGCCCCTGAGATGTGCACCCTGAGGCTTCAGGGACACATGTGGGTGGCTGCGCCTCTTCTTCCCTCTCCCACTGGCCCCTGCCTGCAGCCCTAGGTCCCCTAACCATGACCTGACTGCTTGCTCCAATGGTGAGCTGCCAAGGGAGACCCACAACCAGAAAAGGGCTGGGGAATCAGAGATGGCTCCCTTCCTCTTGTTTAGCAACTCTACAACTCCATTGTCCTAGGATAGCTACATCTTTTATCTGTGTCATAGCCAAGAATATCAACTTAGAAGGAGCACTATTAAAAATATATGCAAAGTTTTACAATCAAATTACAAGCACATACCCTGCCCCAATCCCAGAGCTCTGGAAGGTCACACAGATCCAGCAGAAGGTAAAGACTGAGTAAATTACAAAAAAGAATCAACCCAAAAGTGGCGTCAAGCCCTCTCAGTGTCACAGTGACCATGCAAGCTGTGTGCAAAGGTGCTTGGGGCTCTGCTCATTTGACCAGTCTTGGGCCCAGGAGACTTCCAGGTGGAACCCAGTGGTCTTCTTCACCAGGAGAAGATTCTTGGGTGTCCAGGAGTCTCCTTCCATCTTGAGCTCCTTTCCAGCAGGAGTCAAGGTTACCAGGCTAATGGGAGGGTACTTGTGTTCTACCTGGGGACCTGACATTATACACAGCCATTCTGAGAAAGAATTGCCTCAAAGCCATGAAAGCCACGTCTTCACTCACCTCTTCCTGACCCTCCCCACATGGGGGAGGTGAGCTGGCCATCCTTGAGGTCTGTGATCCTCAGTGTACATCAGCCCACATGTGGACAGGAAACAGGAGGATTGTAAGTCATAACCCCACAAGGGTACTTCCCAGGGAGTTTGAGTCCTCTGCACACACAGGTGCCACTTAGGCTGATGAAAATAAGCAAATGTTCTATGTCCTGACCCTGAAGAAGAAGGGCACTATATTGGGCCACCCTTGGGAGACTGAAGGAATTTGATTAGGGATTCTGGAGGAACTCCCTGGGAAAAGAGGCCAAAAGGCCTCAGGGTGTGTCAGATGGACCAGGAAACTGATGAAGTAACACTCACTGGAGGATCCTCAAGACTACTGACTTTGCTTAACGTTACCCCCTGCTCATCAGAAAGACCTTTCTTCCTGAACAGGCTTTTGTGGTTAAGGGGACAACAGAAGTCTTCTGTTCCTTGTGGATATTGGTCCTCATTAATCCCTAAGCATCTGACATTCATGTGCACGTAGCCTTGGCATCTTCTGTAAATCCCTGTCATTGTAGATCTGCTGCTCTTTGGTGTAAGATGTAAGACATGAGAATGTACAGGAATAATTGTTTCTCATCATTGCCCAGTACACAGGTATTGACCAATAAAGCTTGTATGTTGTTTAGTTGATGTGTTTATTATGCTAATGAAGTCATCATTATCTTCTTGTAGACTATTTACTTTACCTGCTATGAACTTTTCTGCAGGTCAGAAAAATGGCCTCTATCAGGCTGAAAAGTAAAACCAGTCACCTGTAGATCAGGTCATTGTGTGCCAGAGCAGGTGTGTGTGCATCACAAGACATGGCAGTGTTTGCCGTGTCACATTCCAGTGACTAG